GTCTCCTCCGGGGCAGGCGGGAATCGAACTCATGCGGAAGTGGCTTCAGATTCTCAGTGCTGTGCTTTAACCCGCTGCGCCACCAGGGAGGGCCATTGGTAATTTTTTTTAATGTAATGTGTTCTATGCTGATAGTTGTTATTCAAGAAGCATTCCTTCCAGATTTTTTTTATTAGTAAAAATTTTGTAAAATTCACATACTATAAATAAGCATTAGCCATTTAAAAACGTTCAGTTCAGTAGTATCCATAAATTAGTATTATGCAACCATCACTTAGTTCTAAGACATTTTCATCACTCCATAAGGAAGCCCCATATCCATTTAGCATTCATTACCAGTTTCCCCCTCCTCCAAGCCCTTGACAAAGCTCACTAGGCCGCTTGCATATTTATCTGTTCTGGACTTTTTTTTTAAAGATGTATTTATGTATGCATATAGAACTGGGGTACAGGCCAGAGGTGTGGGGGGGTGAGAGGATTCACCAGAGACAGAGTGGGGAGCAGAACAGGCAGACTGATGAAGTACACTGCTGAAGGGAGCAGCGGGCAGGTCACCTTTGGGGCTGGGGCTGGAACTCATGCTGAAGTGGCTTTAGCTTCTTAGTGCTGTGCTTTAACCCACTACACCACCAGGGAGGGCCCTGTTCTGGATGTTATATGTAAATAGAATCATACAATGTGAGGCATTTTTGTTTGGTTTCTTTCACTTGGCATACTGCTTTCAAGGTTCATCCACGGATATAACCTATATATATATTTCCTTCCTGTGACTGAATAATACTGTACCTTGTGAACGTAATCACATTTTGTTTATCTGTTCATATGTTGATGGACAGTTGGGTTTGTTTCTACCTTTTGACTATTGTGAATATGCTACTTTGAATGTTTGTGTACAAGTATTTACTTAAAAGGTTTGTTTATTTATACATACAAGAACTGTGGTACAGGCCAGAGGTGCCAGGGGGTGAGGGTGAGAGGATTCACCAGAGACAGGGTGGGGGCAGAACAGGCAGATATACTGAAATACTGCTGAGGGGAGCAGTGGGCGCACTAGAAGTCCACTGTGCTACGTGGGTCACCTCCCTAGCTGGGGATCAAACTAGTGCTGCAATGGCTACAGATAGCTTCATAGTGCTGTGCTTTAACCTGTTGTGCCACCAGGGAAGGCCCTCCCTGTGTACAAGTATTCATTTAAATATCTCTTTTTCGTTGTTATGGTATGCAATCATTTGCCACATAATGAACAACAGTCTGCTTATACTACAGTGGTCCTGTATATAACCTAGGTATGTAATAGATTGTACTATATAGGTTTATGTAAGCATACTATTTTGATGTTTGCACAATGAACAAATATATGTATCCCTGTCTTTAACATAACCATATACGATGGTGTGGAATTGTTAGTTATATGGTAATATTTCATTGTTCATCTTTTTAGAAACTCTGAGGAGTCACAGCTGTTTTCCATAGTTGCTGTGCCATTTTACATTCTGACCAGCAGTATATGTTTCACTTTCTCCACACCCTTGCCGGTGGGTGTTATTTCCTGAATTTTCTACTACTGTTACATTAGGAATGTCATCTCATAGCTTTGATTTTTGTTTTTCTTCTTTTTTTAAAAGGTGCATTTATTTTTGTGTAGAAGAATTTGGGGTTTAGGCTAGAGGTGGGGGGAGGGAGAGGATACAGCAGGGACAAAGTGGGGAACAGAACAGTCAGAGCTACTGAAATACATGCTAAGGGGAGCAGCAGGAGAGACAGGAGAGGTCTGCTGTGCCATATGTGGGTTAGCTGCATGGCTGGTGATCCAATTCAGGTTATGCAGTGGGTTGTCACAGTGGTAGTGCTGAGACTTAACCCCTAGGCTACCAGACAAGCCCTGATTTTCATTTTTCTAATGACTAATTATAATGAATGTCTTTTCATGTGTGTATTGACCATTTGTGTATCTGTGAAAGGGCTGTTTGAGTCCTTTGCTTGTTGAATCAGATTGTTTTAGTCAAGTTGTAAGAGTTACAGATTTTGGATATTGGATCCTTATTAAATGAATGATTTACACTTTTATAAAAAAGATTTATTTATTTATACAGATAAGAACTGTGGTACAGACTGAGATGATGGGGATGAGAAGATTCACCAGACACATAGTAGGGAGCAGAACAGGCAGATCCACTGAAATACACTGCTGAGGGGAGCAGTGGTTGGGTCAGGAGAGATCTGCTGCGCCATGTGGGTCAGCCCCCTGGCCGGGGATCCAGCTTGTGCTGCAGTGGCTGTGGCTAGCTTCATAGTGCTGTGCTTAACCAGGGAGGGCCTTGTTGTGTCATTTTGAGCGTAAAAGTCTTGTGCCTTTTTGGATTAAATTTTTTAATATTTTAGGCTTTTTGGTGCTATTGTGAATGAAATAGTTTTTATAAATTTGTATTTGGAATTTTCATTGCTAATGAATTTTGTGTGTTGTAACTGTTGATTTGTTAGCTCCAGTAATTTTGTGGATTTTTTAGTATTTTCTTTTTTAAAGATTTATGTATTTGTGCATACAGAACGAGGAACAGGCCAGAGGTGCAGGGGTGGCAAGAGGATTCACCAGAGACAGAGTGAGGAGTAGAACAGGCAGATCAATGGAATATACTGCTGAGGGGAGCAGCAGGCCAGTCAGGAGAGATCTGCCTCACCATGTGGGTCACCTCTCGGGCAGGGGATCGAACTCATACTGAAGGCACTTGCTTGCAATCTTTATTTATTTTTTTTAAAGATTTATTTATTTGTGCATACAGAACTGGGGTATAGGCCAGAGGCTCAGGGGTGGCGAGAGGCTTCACCAGAGACAGAGTGGGGAGCAGAATAGGCAGATCTATGAAGTACACCACTGAGGGGAGCAGCAGGTGGGTCAGGAGAGGTCTGCCACGCCATGTGGTCACCTCCAGGGCAGGCAGGAATCGAACTCTTGTGGAAGTGGCTTTAGCTTCTTAGTGCAGTGCTTTAACCTGTTGTGCCACCAGTGAGGGCCTTGCTTGCATTCTTAACTAGTTGCGCTACCAGGGAGGGCCCTTCTTTAATACTTTCTGTATATAGGATTATGCCTGACATATGTGAATAAAAGTAATACAACTTTTTTCTTTCCTACAGATTTGATGCCTTTAATTTCTTAGCCTTGCCTAATTGCTCTGGCTAGAACTCCATCATTCTTCATTTTTATACAGTGTATGCTTTTCATCGCTGTTGTAACCTCCATGGAATTCTTCTTCCCACCCTTATTTTGATCCTGTTCCCCTTCCCCACCCTGTAGAATGTCTCTGGTTTATAGTTTATTGATTTAGTTTTTATTTTATTACAGTTACTTTTTTTCCTGATCCCTTACACTGCAATAGGGAAACCATCTGGAATTTTTCTTTGTCTTTCTGGCTTATTTCACTGACCATGATCTCTTCATGGTTGCTGCAAATGGCATGAGTTTATCTTTCTTGATTGCTGAGTAATATTCCATTGTGTATATGTGTCACATCTTCTTGATCCAGTAACCTACATTTGGGCATTTGGGTTGCTTACATAGCTTGCCTACAGTAAATAGTGCTGCAATAAACATAGGGGTGCAGGTATCCTTTTGAATTAATGTTTTTGTGTCCTTTGGGTAGATACCTCCGAGTGGAATTGCTTGATCATATATGGAAGCTCCATTTTTAGCAGCTTTAGACACCTTCAAACAGCTTTCCATAGTGGGTGGACCAGTTTGCATTCCCACCAGCAGTGTAGGCAAGTTCCTTTTTCTCCACATCCTCCCTAACATTTGTTGTTGCCATGTTTTTTTTTTTTAACTGTATGTTGCCAGTTTTTTTTTTTAATATGTGTCAATCTTGCTAGTGTGAGATGGTATCTCATTGTGGTTTTGATTTGCATTTCACTGATTAGAAGTGATAATTGTACATTTTTTCATGTACCTGTTGGCTGTTTCTCTTTGCAGGTTTTTTGTAAATTAAAATTATTCCAAATAACTTTTATTTCTAAAAATGCACAAATAGAAGATTATAGTAAACAACACAGATGTGTTTCTTCAGGTTAAGGTCTGAAGTCCATAAAAGCCTATCATTTCATTTTTTTTGAAAAAGAGTTATTTATGCATACAGAACTGGGGTACAGGCCAGAGGTGCAGGGGCAATGAGAGGATTCACCAGAGACAAGAGTGGGGAGCAGAACAGGCAGATTAACGAAGTACTCTGCTGAGGGGAGCAGTGGACAACACAGCAGATGTCTGCTGCTTCATGTGGGTCACCCCTCTTGCCGGTATAAACTTGTGCTGAAGCGGCTGTGGTTAGCTTCATGGTGCTGTGCTTTAACCTGTTGTGCCACCAGGGAGAGCCCTCGTTTTTGGTTTTTTAAAGATATATTTATGCATGCATACGAGAACTGGGGTACAGGCCAGACGTGTGGGATGGTGGGTATGGGAGGATGCACTAGATACAGAGCGGGTAACAGAACAGGTGGATTGACTGAAATAACTATTGAGGGATGCAGTGGGTGGGATAGAGGTCTGCCAGGCCATGTGGGTCACCTCCCTGGCTGGGGATTTAATTCCTGCTGCAGTGGCTGTGGATGGCTTCATGGTGCTGGGTTTTAAAAACCCCTAGCACCAGGGAACCCTCATTAAGAGCATATATTTTGGGGAGTTTTTGCTACATTTGTGTTCTAGAAAATTCGGCACCAAAGTCTTTGACCTTAAGCGCTATGTCTGCGATTATTGTGTGTATACATGGTATGTCGGTAAATGCGTTTTTTTTTTAAAAATATTTGTGTATACAGAACTCGGGTACAGGCCAGAGGTGCAGGGGTGGTGAGAGGATTCACCAGAGACAGAGTGGGGAGCAAAACAGGCAGATCAATGAGTACACTGCTAAGGGGAGCAGTGGGTGGGTCAGGAGAGGTCTGCTGCGCCATGTGTGCTGTGCCATGTAGGTCAGCTCTGGGGCAGGCGGGGATCGAACTCATGCTGAAGTGGCTTTTGCTTCTTAGTGCTGTGCTTTAACACGCTGCACCACCAGGGAGGGCTGGTAAATGTGTTTTTAAAAAAAGATTTATTTATGCATATAAGAGTTGTGGTGTAGGCCAGAGGTATGAGGAGTGAGAGGATTCATTAGAGACAGAGTGGGGTGCATAATTTGTGGATTGGGTGAAACACACTGCTGAGGGGGACAGTGGTGACCCAGGAGTTTTTCTGAACCCTGTGGTTTGGGATCAAAGTCACGCTGCAATCAGGCTGTGGATAGCTTCATAGTGCTGCGACCTAACCCCTTGCACCACCAGGGAGTCTTCAGGTAAATTTTTTTAAGGCAGAAAGAGACTAAAACATTTGTCTAATTTTCAGAGTTGTTCCTGGTCCTTTGAAAGTTAATAATCATAATTTTGATCTAATTCCCTGTCTCATTTGACAGTTGGACAAAACAGTAAAAAGTGAAAGGACTTGTTCATTCTGACTTGAGGATTAGATGCTAAACCCCAGGTTTCCTACTGTACCATAAGTAAAATTTCCTTAAAGGTCCAAGGAGTAAATTTTCTTTTTCTTTTTTTTTTCTTTTTCTTTTTTTACTTTTCTTTGTTTTTAATTATGTCTTTTGCTTTCTCATCTTCCCCTCTTGTAGGGAATATGTGAGGTTTATTTGTGTTCACTTACTTATTTTTCCTTCCTTAGGCTAAGCCATGACTACAGTAGCGGTACATGTAGACTCCAAAGCTGAGCTCACTACACTGCTGGAACAGTGGGAAAAAGAACATGGCAGTGGGCAGGACATGGTACCTATCCTTACCAGGTATGAACAATTGAGTCTTAAAAAAGATTAATTTTAATAAAAGGAAAAACTAATAACATGGGAACATTTCCACCTGGAGTGAATTGTAAATTCATAGTTTTACCTTTTAGAACTAACCTTTATCTCCCTACTTCTCTTTTTCTTTCTTTCTTTCTTTCTTTTTTTTTAAGATTTATTTATTACTTATGCATACAGAACTGGGGTAGAAGCCAAAGTTGCAGGGGTGGTGAGAGGCTTCACCAGAGACAGTGGGGAGCAGAACAGGCAGAATGATGAAGTACACTGCTGAGGGGAGCAGCGGGGAGACAGGAGAGTTCTGCTGCGCCATGTGGGTCACCTCCAGGACTGGGATTGAAATCACATTGAAGCAGCTGTGGCCAGCTTGCAGTGCTGCATCCTAACCCATTGCACCACCAGGGAGGGCCCCTTCTTTTTTTCTTAAGATTTTTTTTTTATAATGCATGCATACAAGAGCTGGGGTGTAGGCCAGAGGTGTGGGGGTTGAGAGGATTCACTAGAAACAATGTGGAGAGAACAAGTGGACCTATTGAAATACACTACTGAGGGCAAGACAGTTGGAGCAGGTAAGACAGGAGAAGTCTACTGTGCCATGTGGGTTACTTCCCTGGCTGAGTATTGAACTCATGCCGCAATGATGGGTGATGGCTTGATAGCGCTGAGACTTTAACCTCTGTGCCACCAGGCAGGTCCCAGGGTATAATTTTATTGAATGAATGTGTTAAGGAGAGAAGGTGAAAAAAGTCCAGGAAGGAATGTTCATGGTTTCTAAATAGAAGGTCCCTGGAATGTGGAGATGTTTAACATCTGGCTTTTGATACTTAGTAACAGAAAGATCGTATTCTTTATATTCTGATCTATTTTTAAGGAATAATGAAAACATAATGATCTTTTGAAAACTTAAACAGGGACCCTCCTTAGTGGCCTGAATGTTCTCAGTGCTATCACCACTAGGGACTGAGTTTGATCCCCAGTAAGGGAGCTAGCCCACATGTGGTGCAGCAGACCTTTCCTGTCTCACCTATTGCCCCCCTTCAGTAGGTCCGCCTGTTCTGCTCCCCACCTGTCTCTAGTGGTTGCTTTTATCACTGTCTTCCTCCTTCCTCTGTCCTATACTCCAGTTGTTCTATGCAAAAAAAAAAAAAAAAAAAAAAGGAATTTATGCTTTGTTCATAACTGTTAGAAACTATTATATTAATTTTTTTAATTTATAACAGTTTATTTTTACATCATTTTGTACATTTTATTTTTCCATCTCAATTGTAATCCCCACGGGTTTCCTATCACCAAGTCACCCGTGTGCCACCACCATAATCCCGTGCACTTCCCTCCCGGCCCCCCTGTTTTTGATCCCATTCCCCACTCCACCCCCACAAAATGTCTCTGGAATATGGTTGTTCATTATTTTTGTTATTTTCCCGCCTCGTCCATTATACTCCTGCTATGAGTGAAACCGTCTGGTATTTTTCTTTCTCTTTCTGGCTTATCTCACTAAGCATGACCTTTTCTAGCTCCATCCAAGTTGCTGCAAAAGACATGTGTTCGTCTTTTTGGATCACTGAGTAATATTCCATTGTATATATGTACCACATCTTTTTAATCCAGTCATCTACTTTTGGGCATTTGGGCTGCTTCCATGTTTTTCCAATTGTAAATAAAGCAGCAATAAACATGGGGGTACAGGTATCTTTTTCAACTGTTTTTGTGTCTTTTGGGTAGATACCTAGGAGTGGGATTGCTGGGTTGTAGGGAAGCTCCATGTTTAGCAGTTTAAGGAACCTCCAAAGAAACTGTTATATTTATTTTAAAGATAGGGCACAGAGAGGCTAAGTCACAGTTGGAAGAGCTAGGGTTTGAATCAGCTCCAGTGTTATATTAAGTAGTTTCTATTGAAGATACTAATAGATTCTGTATATTTCAGAATTTATTTTGTGTTATGCCCCTTTGTGGTAAAGAGAATTTTTGGTTTAGGGGAAGGTGGAAAAAGTTGAACTACAGCGTTAATGAGGAAAGTTTTATAGAGTGGACAAGAATTTTTGCAGGGAGTTTAACCCTTAAGTCAAGAAAGTATGATTTTGTGGAAAAAAGCAGAGAAGAGAGTTTGACTTAAGAGCTTGCTAGATATTAGAGAGTATTTGAATTAGATTAGAACGTCATTAGATTAGGGTGCTCATCAATAAATGATTTTTGCAAAAAAAAAAAAAAGCATAAATAAAAATCAGCTATAACTGATTTTATAACTCAAAACATGCTGAAAGAATCAGACATAAAGAGCATATAAAACTCCATTTGCAAAAATTAATTTGTAGTTGAGAGAAAGCAGATGAGTGGGTGCTTGGGACAGGGGAGGGAGCTTAAGTTTGAGGGGAAACAATGTGTTAGGCTGAAGTAATAGCACATCCAGAGGCCTTGAAGCAGTTTATGGACTTGAACTCTCTGAAGAGTAGCAAGACCATGTGACTGAAGCTTAATAAAAGAGAGTGGAGGAAAAAAGTGATCTGAGATCACAGAGAAGATCCTGATTATTACAGGCTGCTGTGGTTTGATTCAGGATATTGTGTTAAGTCAGAAGTGGGATGATAAATCTGTCAGGTGAAGTAGGGAAGCAAGAAACAAGGGGATATGGGAAAAGGATGTTGCATATAGACCAGGAAGTTGATGATCACGGACTGGACAAGGGTAGGAATGACCACAAGTTAGAGAAATGATTGAAGTAAGCAAATATTTTGTAGGCCGGGCTCACAGGAATTATTATTGTGGGGGATTACAAGGAAGAGGAAAGTTTAATGATGTTTCCTAACTTTGGGGGTTGCTGAGAGTTTTTGAGATAGCAAAGTGGACTGAGGAATGTCTATGGGAGTAAAAATTATTTCCTGAGATGGCCAATTTAGATCTCTGTGTTTATCAGGAAAATATTATTCTAACTTACTGTTTTTATTTTACACCTTTTATTTACACTATTGAATTGTCTGTTGTGGGGCAGTGCATTTTTTTGGTGCTTGTCTAGTGTTGCATCCGTCTTCTCTTTTTGCTAGAATGTCTGAATTGATTGAAAAAGAAACTGAAGAATATCGTAAGGGGGATCCAGATCCATTTGATGATCGACATCCTGGTAAGTCTTGTATTCTATTAAGCCTGCCTCTAATTTTCTTTCAAAACGAATTTTCTTTTTTTTTTTTAAGATTTATTTATTTAGGCCCTCCCTGGTGGCGCAGCGGGTTGGAGCACAGCACTGAGTATCTAAAGCCGCTTCCGCATGAGTTCGACCCCCGCCTGCCCCGGAGTGACCACATGGCG